TTCAGACCCCTCGTATGCCCAGCCAAGCATCCAGACTTCGTCACCAACCCTTTTGAGATCATCCACCTCCCCCTAGGCCTCGGTATCCTCAACACCCAAGGTGGTCTGCCTCGACCTCGACATACCCCTAACGATCGTCTACACGCCCTCGGTCAGGACACCAATTCTTAGGAGTAAAATTACCGTTTGCCCTCAGCCAATCCGAGCAACAACAGAAAATTCAAAAAATATAGGGGCTGAACCCCTATTTCTGTTAATAGGAAAAGAAGAAAAGAAAAGGTGGAAGAAGAAGAAGAAATCAGTATATAAAAACACAAAATTAGTAAAGAAAAAGAAGAAAATGTGTTGATTGGTTCAGGTTTTGAAGTGTTTGAGGGTACAATAAAGCATTTAGCAATGCTTTTGTTGATTAAACCCTAACAAATAAGAAAATAACAAAAAGAAATTAGTATGTAAACACACTAAATGAGTATTTTAGTTTAAAATTTTCTATTTTATAATTATAACCTCAACAAATTAAGAATATAAAAGTTTGTTATAACACGCTATAGAAAACTGCTTGGCGATTAGGCGAGATGAGACTCCAAGGGCGCCTTCTCACCTAGGCGCCACCTTGACAACTATGCCAGTGATAGCCATTGTTACTTGCTCTACTGGGCCGCATTATAGAAATATTATTTTACATTTTAAGGTAATAACCTTGACAAATTTTCTTCAAAGAATTTGCCTTATTTCCCCTGCCCCCCACTCCCTATTTACCAGCTTTGTCTTTGTTAACTCTTTAATTTCTTGCACGATCACAAGGGTAGGATCTCCCAATGGATGACCCTTGCCTCAATTGAATAGGGYTGTAAAGTATTTGAAATGTCAAATATAAAATTTCCAGAGAAACCAGAAAGAGCACTCAATTATAATACAAATAAAGTGGGAGAAGTAAAGCCTGCTTACAAGGTGGTGAAACATGCAGTGAGCACTTGTTGTAAGTATGCCATGTATCAGAACCAAGGAGGCAACCTGCTCGAGATCATGCCTGGGCTTTTACTAATGCCTGCAAACACCTTAACTGCTATGTCATCCCCTTTCTAACATTGTGGCCCCTTACTGGCGCCTGAAGCTTTACAAGCCTCTTCAATGCCCGGAAACCCCCCAAAAGTGGTGGACACCACTGAAAAATTAGAAAATCAGTATATTAGAAAGCAGGAATAGAATAATTTCCAGTCCCTAGGTAACTAATCATTTCATTTAAATCAAGCATACCTGAGCAGAGCCCAAGACATGACAAAGTAGAACTTGTAAAATATGATCCAATTTTTAGAATATAACTGCATAATTTGATGACAAGATACAAAACTACTTTCATAAACATATTACATATGTTGGGAATACATTGAAAACACCAGCTTTATTTGAAGCCACAAAAACTTATTACCAATACCACACATGTTCATCGCAATTCACAAATATTAGCAACTTTCAGATAGAAACCTAACTTCTAATATCCTAAACAAAGCCACGAAAGAAATATGGAAAATATCATTGAAGAAAAAAGTTGAAAGTGGTTTATCTTATTATTTGCAATCTTCCACTTGTTGAAAATTATAAGTACTTTAATAATTTTTTTACAAGAAACTTGCAAATCCAGATGAGAGGTACCGATACCATTAATGGTGTAAAGCATCTAGTACAAACGCAGGTCTGTTCCAAACATTAAGGTCTTGGTCTTTAACTTCAGTATGGTTAGAAGGTATTAAAAAGTTATTGTAATGATTCAAGAGGGAAAAAAATGCAGAAAAGTGATTAATTTATAGAAGGTTATATTAAACCAGGTTGGAATCTAAATGGCTCCTTCCAGGGGGGTTCAGGTTCCAATATACCCACTTCTCAGGTTATTGCGCCCCACATAAGGCAAGAAATAGGTCATTTACACACTTAAGATAATCTTACCTAGCTGTCTACCATATCTACACTTTTAATTCACAACTCTTTTGTTTGCATCTGTTATGTTTTCACCATCTTTGGTGTTTAATCCTGCTAGTTTCATTCTTCTTAGATCTGACGCTTGGCATCAAAATACCTGAATTTGATGCTTTAGACCTTCTACAGTGATGACTGGATTCCTCTATTTTACCTTTAAGTTTTGTTCTTTTTTTATGCTATAAGAACAAACAACTCTTCTTGTTCAACTTTCTGCTCCTGTTTTTTTTTTTTTTCATTTTCTTACTAATTTCTCTGCAACATTGTCTGAAACTAAATTTTTAATGATATGGACTGGGGCAGTAACAGTTTTAAAAGGATTCTTTTAGGATGGGTTCAGTATTGCCTTAAATATTTGATGGGGTGAGTTGATTAGTCTCAAACAACAATAGGGTTGGAGTTGAGATAACACTGAGAAAAACAAATCAAAAGAGACTCTCAGAAATACAAAATTGTAATTCAATTACATCCCAGAAATTAGCCCCTGAACCTAAGAAGCAAACTTAAGCGAACTCCGGGGGGAAAAACACCCAATCTATCACATACTCAAAGATCACCACAGACTTTCCTATCTTCTAATGCTTGTCTTTGAGCGCTATCCTGATCCTCACTTCCAGATTGTCAGATTGTCCAATAGATGTCAAACGGGATGCAGCTTCACACCACCTAATTGAAGCCGGAAGACTCTTACAACCCCCCCCCCACAATTTTTTCTCTTTTCATGATTTTAGTTCATGATTCATGATCTATCATGCTTATTTTAATTCATGATTTATAATCTATCATTGAAACATAAGGTATATATTCTAACAGCTGGTATCCAAGAAATTTTAAAATATCATGTTACATCATACATTTAAAATGTAAGAGGTGACCAGATTTCCTAGTCCAACGCATACCTGCTTTCTGAATATAGGTTCATGCATAAGCATTGTCAGCTTTAGTACTTCCTTGTCATAACCCAAATGTCCATCTGTAGTGGGTCTTGTCAAGAAATTATTGGTGCTGCCCACTTCTCAAAGAACTAAAAGGGGTAACTGAAAAGTGCGAGGTGAGGCACTAGGGCCTAAAGATGAGTGAGGTTTCCAGCCTCATGAGACTTCTTTTCTTCCAAGAAAAACAAAACAAAATGTGATGAAGTACAGGAATATGCATAAGAAATGACTACATATTATGTGGTGAGAATATATGAATGGAATAATCATAACAGAAGCATATTTTTGACTATTTTTCTTTTTTGATAATTAACAAAGACATGTGCATTAATTGCCATAAAACCAGTGACTCTAACCAGTCCAGGCTAGATAGCAGGAACTATACAATGGATAGCCTTGAAATGACCAAACACTAAATAAAAAACAAATTTGTATATTACAGATCAACCTCCATCTGCATTTTCTTCACAGCTCCATCAACTGAAGAAGGAAACTGAATTCATAGGTATGATTTTGTAAGCTAAACTATGATCATGGACCCAATAAAAAAGTATGATAAGTTTGATTCTTTAGTTGGAACCACCAAAATGCAATATGGAAAAGAATGGAGGTGGCCTCCAAGAAGAACCACCAAAGAGCAATATGGAAAAGAATAAGAGTAGTCTTTTAGTGCAAGAAGACTAAAAGAATGTGTTTTCAGTATCCACAACCATGGCATATATCTAATCAAAGAAAATTAACAACAAACAAAGATGAAGAGAAAGAAAAGCACAGTAGTGAAGGCAAAGTTATTACAAAACTAATAAGGTTACACATGGTAATAGCATATAGGTTTTAATGGTTGCTGAGGCCCAAGGATCAAAGAAAGAATGAATTCATGAATCTCTTCCTGAATGAATTCATCAAAAAATAAAAAAAGAAACTCTTTCTGCATGACATAACATAATCTACAGAACTTGGGGGAAGGTAAAGTGCAAAAGCTATGGCATTGTCATTGATACCAGATATGGAAGTAATTTTATCTCCAAATAGTTTACCACTATGTTGTGGCTGAAGGCCTAGCTTGTTCCTAAACCTTATCTAGTGGGATGGTTAGGAGGGAAATGCACTAAAAGTTCAATTATAAATGTTTAATTTAATTTTTAATTAGATGAAATGACAAAATTTGGTCTGATGTTCTTCTATTAGAAGTATGTGATATTTTGTCAGGGCACCCATGGAAATTTGATAGAGCTATTTCTCGAACATGTAGGAAAAATACCTATAAAATAAACAAACATGAAAGAAAGATCAATTTGGTTCCAAGTTCCAACTAAGGGTAAGGACAAGGATATGATGCTTAAGTAACCACAGATGTTTTGTATGAGATAGAATAGCAGCCTTCACTTAAACATGAGAATAAACATAAGAAGCAACAAATCAAGAAATCCTCAGTACCAAAGGGCACAAAATCATGCTATGATACATAACAGTACTAAAACTCAAGTTTGAGCTTTTCTCCAACCTGAGGGCACTAATGGAGCCATGTAGCCAATGGTCTGAAAAGAAAACAAAAAAGAGGGTGTCTTATTCTGCAACCTCAGTCAATGGGAAAAAAATCAGGAAACAATACCCAAGAAAAGGTCTAGTAAAAAATGGAAATCTGTGGGATTGAAGGATTAAGGAGTCAAAAGCTTAATTTACAAGGAAGTTGTATAACTTGAAAGGTTCAATACAATGCTCTATTAAGATCATTTCAATGTAAGAAATAAGGCAAGTAGCCTTAAGTCTTTCAGGGACTTAAAAATGTATTCAAATTCTGGGAGAATCGGTAACAGCAAGTCATTAAGGTCAAGAATATTCTTTTTTCATTGAAATAAGGTTAGAAAAAGAGAAAGATGGAAGAGTTATAAGAGAGAGAGTTAGGGCAAAGTTACTCCTACATGTCTCTCTCAAATGAGAAAGTTGTTTTATATTAAAACTAGAAATGCCCAAGTTACAAAACAGACCCCAATAGGGCACATACTATTGTTACAAAACAGACCCCAATAGTTACAAAACAGACCCCAATAGCTGACTCCCCACCAATTGTATTCTGACACGGATTTCTTGTCAGCCACTTGCATTTCTTAAGTTCATTATTAAAATACCATATCACAGTTTCTGGGTTCTAAGCCACCCCACAACCACCTTGGAGTCACCTTCTATTATTAGCTTTTCCACTCCTATCTGTGCTGCAAACTGCACCCCTTGAAGGGCAGCTAGTAGTTCCACCCTAGTGGAGTCCCCGGCGCCTAATGGGCCTGATATAAGAGAGTCACATTTCCACTTTCATTGCTTAGAACCTCTCCCATCCTAGATGGACCTGGATTACCTTGACTGCTGCCATCAAAATTCAGTTTCAAGAAACCTTCAGGAGGTGGTGCCCAACTCAAACGCACCTTCACAGGGGAGCAGCTTGTCACTACTGCCCAATTCCTCTAGAGATCATTAAATGAAAATTAAAGAAATAAGTCCAGGACTTTCAGCCACAAGATAGCCCTATACAAAATACACTCCATCTCTTGCTATCTTGGAAAATCCTGGCATTCCTTTCTTCCCACACTTTCCATAACAAAGATGCCCTTGCACACCTCTACATAATACTTCCTCTTCGATGGCGCCAAGTAAAGAAAAAAGGATCAAAGAAAATGCTTACCTCTGCTGGCCTATTCCACCTACACCCAAAGATCAAGAAGAGCCAATATCACAACTCTACTGTCACAGAACAGGAGATTAGTAAATGGTAACAATCCTCACCATGAGACCTGCAAAGAGTACACCAATTAGGTGAGATGCAAAGTATAGATCTTCTCTTTTGTAGATTATCCAAGGTGTTAACTTTCCCATAGAACACTTACTAACAGAATGCCAACACCATAGGGGGAACAGGCCTACACCAAACTTCCTTAAAGGGGAAAACTTATTGGAATGAAGAACGACAAAGGGCCTTAAAGAAGGAAGCACAAGAGAAATGACCAAAGGGTAGAGGTGTCCAAATCCTTTTGTCTAGCTCAAAGGGGTCCAAATAGACGTTTTTCAAGAAGACTTAGAAGGTTGGTTAGACTCTCAATCTCCCCATCCCTAAAGCCTCTATAGAACCCAAAGTCCCAAATTGATAACAAAGGAGATGCTAGAGGGTTAAGAATTTTGACACAGGCTCTTTTTTATATCAAGAGACAATGAATAAGAACATAAAGAGGTCATTCAAAGGAGCCTCTCTGTTGAGGGCCCGAGAATAGGATCTCGTCATGGGTCGGTCCATGGGGAAAACCTCCTGTTTTCCCTTCTTCCTTCTTGCTCTTGATGAACCTATCTTGGCGCCTTGGTGATTTGTTGAAGAGATCACCAACTCTCCTAACTCACTTCTTTTAACTGAATATTCAATATCTTTATTCAATACTGGTATCTCCTTAAATAGAAAATTACAAGAGTCCTAATCTTAGGGAGTCTCCTTGCTGAATAGGGAGACTTCTAGTTCTATCTTGCTAAGGATAAGATAAGTTAATCCTAATCTGATAATCTACTAACAAGATAAGATAAGAGCAATAGAATAAGATAAGAACAAGCAAGATGATCCAATCTAATCTGGATGAGACTGCTGTTGCCGAACTGGGTAGGATGAGAATCATTGAATCACTGTTGCTGCTGACGGTGGGTCAGGTTCCTGTTGCTGCCAGCGGCGATGGTACGTCTTCCCGAGGAATGTGTCCATAACACTCTCCAACCCAAATGTCTTCCTAAAAAGTGACTAAATTACCATCACACACATCATACCTAAGAAAGTTGCGAAATTACGGAAGAATACTGTGAATTGCCTTCCAAGTTGTTGCCAAAGTTGCTTAACAAGATACCCCAGCATCCCACCCGTTCTCTAAATGTCTAAATGACCATGAATACTTCCTACCACCTCATGCCAGTCTCTCTCTCTCTCTCTCTCTCTCTCTCTCTCTCTCTCTCTCTCTCTCTCTCTAAATTCCACCTCCACAACCACTTTCCCAATAAAGTTGTATTCTTTTGCAATACATTCCCTATTCCCAACCCTCCCTCCTCTTTGCTTCTACACACCACCTCCCACTTTAACAGATTATCTTTCCTACTTTGCCCCTATTCCCAAAGGAAGTACCACACCAATTTTTCAAGTTTCTTGGCTTCCCTAAAAGGAATCCTAAAGACAGGTGAAAAATAGGTTGGTAAGTTAGCAAGGATGGCTCTAATCAATATGATTCTTCCCCCCAAGGAGATGCAATTCTTCTTCCACAATGCCAATCTCTTTTCTAACTTCTCTACAGCCGGAGCTTACATCAAACTAGGGGGGTGCAACCATGCAACTTGGTTACCCAATTTGAAGATTTTCCACTACATTGGCTAGGACCCTTTCAAAATTAACAAATTCTCAACCTAAGCCTGCCCAAATTGCACCCTTACAGCAAATTCACCATGGAATTGTAAGTTTTTACCGGCTTACTTCCAAAAAAAAAAAATACAAAGATTTACAATATGCTCCAAATCTGTTAAGCAATCAGTATGTGCTTAACCCCATAAGAAAAGCAGCTATGTTCCATTAAATTATATAATCCTCCAAAATAACTGCTTACTTATTACTGCTTGTTTGGTCTTTTTTTATCAGCAAAAATTCATTCATTCATTAATTAAAAAAGAGAAAGATCACAACAAGAAATTGTGAAAAAACTGTCAAACCCAATACAAGACAGACCCAGCCAACTGTGTTACAGCCTATCTTACAACTGAGCCCATTATATATGTTGTTTTTTAACCCCTTGTTTGGCTAATCCATCTACTAAACTATTAGTAGATCTCCTAACCAACTTGATTTGAATTGTCATATCTTTTGATAGCCATTTGAAGCGCCTGAATTCACTTCTAAGTTTCCAAATCACCCCTTCACCTTTCTTTAACCACCCGACTACCAGCTTCGAATTACCTTTTTTTTATCAATAACTCACAGATTTTATTAAAATTAGAGAGAAAAAGCACAGGTACAAGAAGAGGGAGATAAACACTCTTATCTCACCTAATCAAAACAACAAAACAAGAGAACAATTACAAGATAGCCCAGAACAAAGAGTCCCCTATATACCCCTTGTTTAGCTAACCCATCAGCAAAGGAGTTAGCACTTCTTTTAACCCAACTCAACTTCACCTCAATGTTCTTGGTTAACCAATTAAATTTCCTCCTCTCATTGTTGTAGCTCCAAAAGTTAGCAGTATCAATTCTCAGCCAATCCACTACCAGTTTAGAATTGCCTTCTATGACCAAATTGGTGATATTCAGTTCAATTGCCCTTTGAGTTCCTTCGATAACAGCTGAAATCTCAGCTTTAAGAGAATCACCCAATCCAATTGGCCCCGAAAAGAGAGAAATTATCATTCCCTCCTCATTTCTTAAGACACCCCCAATACCTGATGGACCCGGATTACCCATGCTACTTCCATCAAAATTAAGTTTAACAAAACCACTAGGAGGAGGAGCCCAAGAGGGTAAGGATGTGTCTTTGACAGGAGTTGAACTTGCAATTTCCTTCCAATTTCTGAGCAGATCATCCTCTGAAAGGTCTTTAAAAAGAGCCAAAGACTTCAGCCAATGAAACACTCTGATCTGAATCAGCTCCAGAATTTCTGGCAGTCTTCTTTCCCTATCTGAGCAAATTCTCCGGTTTCTTTCTTCAAAAATAGTCCAGCAAACAGCAGCCCTGAGACATCTCCACATAACTCTTTCTCTTTTTTTCGACTAGCTAAACAAGGATGGAGCAAAGAGTCTTTGTACATCTGGTGGAGGAGACCAACTGTGTCCAAACAAAGATGAACACCACTCCCAAATGTGATTCATAACAAAGCAGGAAATCAGTAAATGGCAATCAGTCACACCTTCAACCTTGCATAGAACACACCAGTGGGGAGATAAACAACTCGTAAGCCTCTTTCTCTGAAGGAGACCACAATTGTTAACTCTATCCAGGATTGCTTCCCAACAGAAACTCCCAACCTTCGGAGGAATCGGTTTGCACCAGACTTCCTTTACCGGAAAAGGCTGCCCTAACTGACCCAATGGATGAACTAAGGCTTTGAAATAAGAAACACAAGAAAAAATTCTAGAGGCTGTTTAAGTCCAGACCCTTCTATCTGATTTAGAGGGATCTAAGAAAATACCTTCTAGAATATTAAGAAGAGACAAAGGACTTTAAGCTCATAAGCCTAATTGGGAGTATGTATAAGGTAATATCAAAGGTCTTGGCAGAAAGAATCAAAAAGGTACTACCTTCCTTGATTTCTCCGAACCAAGGGGCATTTGTGTTAGGAAGACAAATTATTGATCAAATCCTTATTGCCAATGAATGTGTGGATTACAGAAAAAGACAAGGAGAAAAGGGTCTGATTTGCAAACTGGATTTGGAGAAGGCCTATGATTTGGTGGACTGGGACTTTTTATTGGAAGTATTGAGCATCAGAGGATTTGGAGAAAGGTAGTGCATGTGGGTTAAGGGTTGTATCTCTTCATGTCACTACTCCATTCTAGTAAATGGGGTAGTCAAGGATTTCTTCCCGACAAAGAGAGGATTAAGACAAGGGGACCCTCTTTCTCCTTTCCTTTTCACCCTGATACTTGATGTGTTGAGTGTCCAGACTACTAGAGCCGATGCTAGAAATTTGATTAGAGGGTGGAGAGTAGGGAGGGAGGAAATAGTTGTAACCCACCTTCAATTTTCCGATGACTTGATTCTCTTTTGTGAAGGAGATCTGGAGAAGTTGGAAAATTTAAAGGTCTTGGTAGAACATTTTGAAAAGGTCTCCAACTTGAGAGTAAATTGGAATAAAAGTCGTGTAGCTAGAATTAATAAACAATAAGGTCAGATGGCATCGTTGGCTAGATCTCTAGGTTGTGAGGTAAGTGAATGGCCCCTTAAGTATTTAGGCTTACCTTTGGGAGGAAATCTGAGGTCTATTAGCTTTTGGTACCCAGTCTTGGAAAGATTCTCAAAAAGACTAGCGGGTTGGAAAATGAACTACATCTCTTTGGGGGGTAGAATCACTCTAATTAAGTCAAACACTAGCAAATTTGCCAATGTATTTTTTGTCTACCTTCAAATTGCCTGTTAAGATTGCAAACCAGATTGAAAAAATAATGAGAGATTTTCTATGGGAGCCTGGAGATACCAAAAAGGATCATAGGGTAAAATGGGAAGTGGTGTCTAGAAAGAAAGACAAAGGGAGTTTAGGGGTTGGAAATATTAAAATAAGAAATGCAGCTTTGTTAGGCAAATGGTTATGGAGGTTTCCTGAGGAGCAAGAAAGTCTATGGCATAAGGTGATAAGAAGTATTCATGGAATGGCAGCAAATGGATGGGACGTTGGACTCAACCCAAGAGCTTTGCGTTTTTCCCCGTGGAAAGATATTGTCGRTATCTTGCCTTTCTTCTCTCCTTTCATCAAGTATGATACTTGTGTGGGTAATAAGATTCTTTTTTGGGAGGACTTGTGGATTGGAGAATCTCCTCTTAAGGATAGATTCCCGAACCTTTATTCCCTTTCTTTGAAAAAATCTCAATTTATCTCTTCTTTTCTTACTTATGGGGATTCTTGGGATCTGGGACTAAGGAGAGGTTTAAGGGACTCAAAAGTGGATTCAACAAATGATATTTTTTCTCTTCTAAGTTCAGTTTTTCTAGACCACTCCTCTCCGAACAGTAGCATTTGGGCAGAAACTTCTACAGGTAGTTTTTCTTGTTCTTCGTTTTTCAATGCTTTGGTCCTTCCTTCTAACCCGGTTTCCTCTTTTCCTATTAAAGAAGTTTGGAGCGCTCCAGTCCCCCCAAAAGTAAGGGCTTTTTGTTGGGAAGTGATTCTCCAAAAAATCAATACCTTGGAGATGCTTCAAAGAAAGAGACCAAATTGGTGCTTGTCACCTCATGTCTATAGCCTTTGCTTGAGGAATGGTGAGACGGCGAATCACCTATTAATTTCTTGTCCTTTTAGTGCTCTAATTTGGGATTGGTTCTCCTCTCTCTTTGATTGTAGGTGGAATCCTCCCACACGTATAACGGATTTATTTGACCCTAGCTTTTTCTAACAACCAAAGAAGAAAGGAAGGGTGATGTGGAGAACAACGAGGGCAGCTATCTTGTGGGCAGTATGGGAAGAGAGAAACAATAGGATTTTACATGGGAAAGAAAAATCAGCTCCTGAAGTTATTGAAGGGACCACCATCAAGGCAGTACATTGGCTGAAAACTCTTGACTTGTTCAAGGATGTCTCTACAGATGATTTGATTAGAGGCTAGAGTATTTTAGCAAGATCTTCTACTTCATCACCTACCATACAACCAGTTTGGTCCCCTCCTTTGCAGTGTCATGTCAAACTGAACTTTGATGGCAGCTCTATTGGGAACCCCGGACCTTCTGGAATAGGGGGTGTGTTTAGAGATGCAAAAGGACAAATCCTAGGTTTGTATTCTAGTCCAATAGGTGTGGGGGACTCGCTTAGAGCTGAAGTTTTGGCGCTCCTCCAAGGGCTCAGATGGGCCAAGCAATTGGGTTTTCAACAGTTGGAAGTGGGGGGGGTTCAAAATTAGTAGTAGGTTGGCTGCAATCAATTAGTTTGGGAACGTGGTCCCTTAGACAACAAGTAAGGGAATTATTGAGCCTCATAAGGGAGCTGGATGCAAAAGTAAGGGAATTTTTGTTTTGTGCAGTGTTGTAAGATTTTTGTTATTCAGGGGTCACCTTTTCCTTTGAAAGGTGATAGTTGCTTCTTATGGTTTTATCTAATGAAAGTTACCATTTCCTATCAAAAAAAACATATTAAGAGACAGTACTATTCAGTTCTGACTCACTAACTACTCTTCTAAGACCCAAATTCCACCTAAACCCTGAGGAAGCTTGTGATTGCACCAAGAAACTAGATATAGGCTTATTTTTCAGATTAGACAAGGCAAACAAAGAAGGGAACTGATCCTTCAAAGGAGAATCCCCAATCAAGACTTCTTCCCAAAATTTAATGAGGTTACCGAAATGCAAATTGTACCATGTCCATGAAGTGAACAGAGGTAAGGAAGCTTGAATAGATTTCCATGTAGAAGCTCTTGTAGTCCTAGTCGAAATTCCAGCATCCCATCCATTACTTGCAAACCCATGAATACTCTCCACAATCTTTACCGACAACCTCTCTTTCTCTAGGGGAAACCTCCATAACCACTTACCCAACAAAGCCACATTCCTCTTCTGAATATTCCCTAACCCTAGTCCTCCACATTCTTTGCTTCTGCACACCAGATGCCACCTAACCCTATGATCTTTTTTCTCCTCACCTGGGTCCCATAGAAAATCCCTYGTTAATTTTTCCAACCTTCTGGAAATCCTCTCTGGCATTTTAAAAACTAACAAAAAATATATTGGAAGGTTGGCAAGGGTAGATTTTATCAGTGTGGCTCTCCCTCCCAAGGACAAGTAATTCCTCTTCCAAGAGGCTAGCTGCTTCTCAAATCTCTCTACCACCAAATCCCAGAACTTTTGTCTCATTGGATTATCCCCAAGAGGCAACCCCAAGTACTTCACTGGCCAATTGGACACCACACACCCTAAAATGTCTACACACTCTTCACCTCTCTCTCCTCAAGATTTATCCCTACTATACAACATTTGTCAAGGTTCACTTTTAGATTAGACATTTGCTCAAACAGTTGTATGCTAAGTTTCAAATTCCTAAACCATCTACAATCACCTGCTTCACAAAAGAGGATTGTATCATCCGCAAATTGCAAATGAGTAGGTACCCCATCCTTACCAACTCTGCAACCTTTTATTAGGTTCCTCGAGTCTACCCCAGAGCCAACCTTCCCAAGACATCTACTATTAAAGTAAACAAAAACGAAGATAAGGGATCTCGTTGCCTTCAAGAACCAATCTATTCTCATGTCTCTAGCCATCTTTACCCCAAATATTGGCAGCAAAGAATTGTGCACTTATAGAATCACCTTGCTCAACTGGACCTGAATACAAAGCACGTATAATGCGACCCTCATCTCTTACCACCCCTCCAATTCCTGAAGGACCTGGATTGCCCAGACTACAACCATCAAAGTTCAATTTCAACCACCCACCCATTGTGGGAGATCACACCTCTAGGGATTTTTATTTCCTGGAGGAGGATCCAGCAATTGTCCCCCCAACTCCTGAAGAAATCTTCTACCTTAAAGTCAACAAACAACTTCAAAGTCTTCACCCAAAAAGCTACTTAGTGTTATATCAATGCCTCCTTGCACCTCTCCTCAAAAATTCTTGAGTTCCTTTCTTCCCATAATGTCCAAATCACCGCTGCCCGAGTGTACCTCCATAGAATCCTGCCTCTCCTAGATATGCATATCAACACAAAAGGGCTAAACAACCTTTCCAAGATTGCCGGAGGATTCCACCTAAAACAACAAAGAGAAAAAAATAAAAAAAAAAAACATTCCCAAATACAGCAAACAAATGGACAAGAGATTAAGAGATGAACAGCAGTCTCACCATGCAACTTACATAATTAACACCAATTGGGGGATAAGGACCAGTTTGGTCTTTTCTTCTACAATAGATCATAATTGTTAATGCTACCATGGAAGACTTTTCAACAAAGAGCACTGACCTTAGGGGGAATTTTTTTTTTTTTGAAGAATAAAATAAAAATTCATTAGAAAAAGGAAAAAAGAATACAATAGGAAGGTGATAAGACATCACCCGAAGAGGAAACAAACCCAAAGAACCCAACAAAGATCTGAAGAGTCTCATACTATACCCCAAAAAACCAAAACTGACAAAACTTTAATATTCTCTTAAAACAATCTCAAGCAAAAGCCAAGGAAACAACCCAGAAAATCCCCTTGAGAGTCAGCATCAAACTTTAGGATTCTCTTAAAACAATTCTCTTAAGATTCACCTTCTCTTCCCTTTTCCTTTTTTCAACCACCTCAAAGGCCTTTCTAGCAAGCTCCTCACCACCTCAGAAAAACAAACCCAAACTCTTTCCAATCGTGACCTCTCTACCCAACAAATTCTGGAGAGTCCCACACCATGTCCTGTTATCAACTCCATCATTGTTTTGCATTGTCTCGCTCTTACCAGAAGTAGAGTCAGCATTATTCAATTTGTTCTTTTGTTGCTCCTTCCCTGAATGGGAGGTCGCTGGCTGGATTTACACCGTTCTCCCCCTATTATCAATGCCAGATGTCCTACTGCCTCTTAATCTTTTCCTTTTATAAACCCATTTGTAGTTTTTCATAGGTCCTGCTACCGCCAAACCAAGTTTTAGCTAGAGAATATCTTCGTCACATGCACTGTGTTATGATTTTTCAAGCTATGTGATTTTTTGTTTATCGCCTCGCTTATCAAGTTCTCTTCCTTTTCATCAAGCTTGCTCCTTCGGCCTAGATCAACACCTAGTCTTCCTGCCTTCACCTCCTCAAGTTGAAAACAATCCACATCGTAGCTCTCCCCCAAACTCCCCATGCCTTCGCCATCACCTGTTTCCCCTTTCCCCTTATTCTCACATTCTCTCTCATGCTCATCACCTACAAAAAAAGGAAGAGGGGGAATAGGGAAACACCAAATTTCTTTTATAGGGAATGAGGGATGAGAAGCAGTGGCAATAAGAGCCTTGAAAAATGATTTACAAGAAAACACCCCAACATTATTTAGGGCCCAAGCTCGATTATTAAAATCCTCTACATCCATAACAATAGAATCCAGAAGGTGCAACAAACCGGACGTAGAGGAGATTTTTTTTTTGAAGAATAACGTGGAGGAGATTTTTGACTCCCTAAGATTCCTTAGTAAGACCCATATTACAATTCAACCCAGTATGTGAGGGATGAGAGAAGAAAATCAAACAAAGACTTTTATTTGAGGTTGGAAAGAACAAACAAAGAGGGATAAGCAACTATCAAAAGAGACCCCCCAACCCAAACATCTCCCCAAAACCTTATCTTCAAACCAGAAGCCAAACCATACCTCACACGATTAAGGAAGAGAAGGAAACCATAAATAGCTTTCCAAGGTGCAGCAAGAGTAGCTCTGTGCAAACAAGCAGCACTCCATCCGTTGCTTGATAGCCCATGGGTACTTGACACAACCTTATGTCACAACCTCTCATTTTCCACAAGAAATTGCGACAACCACTTAAGAGAGCCAAATTTTTCAAACACATTACCAATTCCCAATTCCTCTTCTTCCTTCCTTTTAGTCACCTTTTCTAAATGGTCTTTTTTCCTTCCCCCAACTCCCATAGAAAGTCCCTCATTAACTTATCAATCCATTTCTCCTTGTTTATTTAAGAAAAAAAAAACCTAATATACAAAATAAATTCAACTTTCTATTATAACATAATTTTGGATAACCAGGATAAACTTTTTAGATAATTTTGCAATCTTCTGTATGCATAAGATAACAGAATCTCACAGTTACAAGGTGGAATGGGAATATTAATTTTGTAAGCAATATTAAATTTCAGTGCATTTTTCTCTTAGTAACCTTCTCCAACTGTTCTTCTTAATGGAAAGTTTTAGGTGGAATGGGAATCTGATGGAATCTTCATTTGGGTCATGCAAGGTAATGATCCAGGTCCTGTAGAATTAAACAATTAGTAGGATGTTGAAAAGTCATAATCTCAGTTTAATGGGTGACCTAAGAAAGAATGCCAAGAGAGCTATGGTTTGAACAGCTGATGATTTACTGAGCTGGAAGGATTTCCTCAAAGGCCTCAGGATAATTCTCCTTGATGAACACTTTTTTTGCAGCTGAGACAATTGAAGCTCAAAGAAATGGACTATATTGGTTAGCCACATAAATTTCCCCTTCATTCTTAGTTTTAGGTTCACAATTTATTTCTCCTAAACTAAAACTTGGCCGGGTTTTTGCTTGTTTTTCATGTTTCAGCTAATTCTGTTTTAGTATGTTTGATACTTGTCTTCATCCTTATAGTCATCTCATAACACCCCCATTACTCTAAATTTTTACTATTTGATTATTCATAGAGAACATGGCTTTGGATTTTAGTTGGTGCATGCATTCTAATAATAGATAGAGATGGTGCAAACTTGGGCAGGAGCTTTTTTGAAAAGCTCAAAGGATCAATAATTAAGCTTGTAGCCTCACCAAAATAATAAGAGGCAGTTTATGGCTTTACCCTTCTTAATTAAGGATTCAAAAGCCTTCTTTTTATCAGCAACTCAAGAAATTTTTATTAAGATTAAAGAACAAAAAGGTACAACAAGAAGTTAGGGCAAAGACCCTTTACAGAAAAGATCCCCCTACAGAATTAACATTGAGCCCAAAACAAATGCTGCCTATGAATTCCTTGCTTAGCTAATCCATCCGCCAACAAGAAGTTGTTAGTCAGTCATGGTTTTTTTCTTTTTCATTTTTCTCCATTGTAACCATGGTTTAAAATGTCCTAATTTCCCTAATATTTCCATGACAGATTTCCATATCCATGGGTAGTGACACGAAAATTTACCAAAATCAACATATTCCCCAATGAACACTGCCAGCACTATGTGGAGCACAAAAGATAATTTCCACGACATGTTTCCATTTCCACTTCCATGGGTAGCAACATGAAATTTTACTGGAATCGGCATATTCCCCAATGAATACTACCAGCATGATGTAGAATACACGAGATAGTATTATAACATAATTTGGTGAAACTATTGTAGACATGTGGAGTGACAATGTTATTGTCCGCCTAACTTACATGATTACCACTTTGAGCTAGCTCATATTCATTTCAAACATGAAGTATTAGTTTTTAGTTTTTATAATAGATTATTTGGTTGATCTATTACAACCATTTGCATTTTCTATGAGTTTAAATTTTGCTTTAACTTATTCTATCATGAAGCTCAACATATTCTTTTGTCTATAACCTTGGCTCCTAACTTTGTGTAATGATTTGGAACAAGATAATAATTTAAAAAGGTTTGCCTATGCTTCTTTTATTATTTCATAAAATATCATTCTTATGTCTATAATTTTCACAATATTTCCGACATTTCTAAATTCCAACATGTTTCTTATATTTAGACAACCAACATTTGTTTACTGTTTCCAGTTTCTGGATTTTGCAATGAGAGTGAAACTTTGACATCAATTGCAAACAAACTGATAACTTCCATGTAGCAATAGTATAGGTTGCAAGAGAGTGGAGATCTGACAGTAATTGAAAACAAACCGATGGCTCCCATGTGGCACATAGTAGCAATACTAGAGAAAAAAATAAAAAAAAAGACAGAAGTTTGATTGCAACCAAGTCCAAGCATTGTACCAATAAACTCAGCATAACAGATCATTTGGACTAATTCATCAAAAAAAAAAAAACAGATCATTTGGACTATACACAATGTTATAAAGGCACAGGCTCGATTTGAACGATGAGAGTTTATGAACGATGACCACTACCCAGTAAGTGACCAAGTTCAGCATCACAGAAATTGATGAAGTTAGAACTTCAGGTGAAAATATTGAATTTCTTGGTACATGTTAAACAAAAAAGAAAAAAAGTAAAAGAAAAGAAAAAAGAAAGATAGAGAAGTTAACTCCAAAGCTATATACATAGTCATAAAAGCATTGTTCAACATTGCAAACCAAACCCATCTTGATGGGTGCAGTAGGAAATAAGTTTACATTACCAAGGAGGATTAGAACCCTCCCTTACTGATGGTGACCTTGACCCAAAGCTCCCATCTCTTCCAAACCTTGTCAAGCTCCTTCCCGCTTTTGGAGTCCCTACGCTGGGGCTCACACCCCGATAGCTGGCACGAAGAGTTTCATCCACAGAACGTGAAGATTTTGCAATAGCATTCCGAACAAACTTCTGAGCAGCAGGAGAAAGTGTCCTAACACTTGGACTTGCACTCCCACCTCTAACTGGTGAAGGCAATGGTGGTTTCTGAAACATTTTCGACCTCGCTCTCAATTTTCGAGCAGCCTCCCTTGACAATGAGTGGGCCTTAACATCTCGTGAAGGTGGATTTGGGATTCTAAAATGCGGACCATCACTACTACCCCCAATACCTACCGGTGTTTCCTCTGGTTCCAATCTCAAAGGCGTCCCTTCAATCTCCCCCCATGTGATGAAAGGCGACTCATCAACACCTGGTGCAGGAGAAGGAGTTTTAACAAAGCTATATCCATTGTCAGCTCTCTTGCCTGATTCAACATAAAATCGATTAGGAGTCCTTCTTAAGTCTTCCAGATCATACTTCTTTGACTTCTCTGCTTCTCTATCTGACAAGGGTAGAGGGACCGGGGTCGCTCCAGCAACAGGCGTATAAAGTACTGCAACTGTGTCCTCCTCTTTCGGCTTAGAATCCAACACTTTGCCATGGAAACGGGTATTTACACGATTAATTTCCTTAGTCAGGCCCTTAATCCTCTCTGCCCTCTCCGCCTCTGTCAATGGGGCTTCACCCCTATCCGCTGGGTTATACATTAAGAGGTTTTTTGCAGCATATTTCCAACCTTCTAACGTACTCGGAGGCTGATCAGATGTTCCATAGCCATCAGTAATCCGATCCTTCTTCTCAGTTTCCAGCGTTTTAAGTTGTTCCTTCTCTCCTTCAGTCAAATACCCAAACCTCTCTTTCCTCTTTCGATTAACCTTCTCCATTATCTTCGAGAAACTATCATTGTCTTCACTTGTATAGCGCCGGAAAAATTCATCCAGCGTCAACGAAACATCAACCGAATCATCACCAGATTCTCCTACGGCGACCGGCAAATCTCGCGGCAATTGAGCAGGGGTCTTATCGAATTCAAACGGAGTGGACGTCGAAAAGAAACTTGATCCGGGTGTTCGCAAATTAGAACCAGGAGTTTGAGTTCGAGTCCTACTTTCTGCGTCAGAATTGGAAACCTTCCCAGCCCGCCGCTCCAAGATCTTTAACTGGGCATCGCGCATTTGGACAGGATCACCGCTCCGAACGGCTTCCAACCAGTCGAGACGGTCCCTGAGCTTTGGAATGTCGGGGAAGAAATCACGCTCGATGATCTTCTCAATCGCTTCGACGTATGTGTCTTCATCGAGAACTGCGGGATCCTTTTTAGGGTTTCTAGCAGGGATTAGGTCATTAGGAGTTTGAAGGGATTTCTCAGAGAGAGATGGAGAAGGAGAGGAGATGCGCCGAGGAGAATGACCCGGAGAAAAAAGCATGGTTCTCGATCAACAACGGAAGAATCGTTAAGATTAGGGTTAAGAGTTGCAGAAGCTTAAACCGTAGACACAAGGAAAAACAGAGATCGCGTATATAGATTATGCCAGACTGCCAGTTTGGAAGATAGAAGCGTACGACTCACGACTTTCCAAAGTGGGCTCCACGGGGAGGACTCCCAACATTGTCCTAATAGGTCACTTCAGCCGTATATCGGGAGCATCTCCTTTTGTCTTCTGAGAAGAAATGTTCTTGATGTACGACTGTGATGGTTTATAGGGACACGGAGCGATTATTGGGAGAAGATCCGAACTCGGACCCACACGGACAGCATATTTACAGCTATATTTGGTGAATGAACATTTAGTAACCGTTTCAGGGGAGAGTCGGTTGAAACGCAGCGCCTTCTGGCATTTATTGTTAATTACATTTTTCATATTATATGTTCTATTTTATTTTATTTATTTTAGTTTATTAATGATCAAATGTTACAATTTTTTAAAACTTAAGCATTAATAAATATATAAAATTAGGTTATAGTCATAATTAAATTAATCTATAATTAATTTTTTAGTAATAATTAAATTAATGTAAGTTCAAACTCAAAGTTCAAGACTTTGGATTAGGCTTGGATTGATTTTATCATGACCCAGCCCACCCAAATTGCATGCATCGTTGATATTTGTAATTGGATTGAACCAAATCAAGTGCAACCCATGCATTTATTATGTTTTGGTTTTTTTAACTATTTTTACGTAATATTGAAGCCAAAGGAGCTGTGAGGATGGGCTACCCCCATTGCGTGCCCACTGAACCAAATTTTGATGGTATATTAACAATTTTTAAGGTTGCTTGGCCTAGTCCAACCCACACCTCAAGTGTAATAATATTTGTTCGGGCCTACGACATGGACAGGCTTGCCTGTATTAATTATAAAAATATGATTTTTTACAAATTAAAATTGTTATTTAATTTTAGTCTATTTAAAAAATATATAACATATATATACATACCATATGATATATATATATATGTTAATATTAAATTTGTTATCTAAATATTATATAATAATATTTACCATATATGCATATAACTTCCAAGTTGAGCTTCGGGGTTGCTTAGCTTGGCTTGTTGGGCCCTATCCGCTAAGGCTATTATTAGACTCCGAAAGTTCAATACCTAATTGGACTTTGAATCCGATTTAGATTTGGATGTTACAACTTAAATCTAATTACAATTCGATTGGATGTGGATTTAACCCCATCCAATTTGATTAAAATCCATGTCTAATAAAAATTATTATTATTATTATTATATGTAGTATAATTATGTATACATATAGATATTATGTGTAATTATATAGAATTTATAATTAATAAATTTAGTATTTTATATTTATATGCATTTATTATACATATATACTTTAAAATTCAAATTGAACATAATAATAATCAAATGTTGATGCATATTTATAAATTTCATAATTATATATAGGTCAAGTCAGGTTGGGCTAAGTTATAAATGATTTGGTACTTTTTATTATTAATTTTAATTACCCTATCAATACTAAGTCTAGTTAGTTTCTAGACAAATTTGCTAAAACTTAATATTTGTTATCAACTAAGTTATAAATGACCATCTCTAAGTAAAAGGATTCTTATGACATTTTTAATTGGGTCATTATTAGATTTATTATTTTTTTATAACATATGCAATGCAAATAATTTATTTTATTATTTTTCATAATTATTTTACATTTTATTATTAATTTTAACTATCCTATTAATATTAATTATCTTTAAATAGAATCACACACACACACTAGTAGGGCCAAGCAAGATCTTTTATTTTTTTGATTCATTGGGCTACACAATGGGGGTATGCCATCCCCCATTGTTTGGATTGAATGTTATCTAAAAATAGTTATAAAACCCAAAAATAACGCATGCATGGGGTATACTTTGTTTGGTTTAGTCCAACCATGAATGTTGATAATTGAATTAGACCTACTTGGATACCTAGCTCAAAAGAAAATAGTTGCTTGGGCCTTAAAATATATAGGTCTAGCAAGGTTGGGTGAAGTTATAAATGATTTGTTACTTTTTATTATTTATTTCAATTTTCCTATCAATACTAATTTTTATTAATTTTTAAATTTTAATAGTTTCTAGACAAAACTTATTAAAATATAATATTTTTTATTAATTTTATATCCCTATTGTCGGCATTATGTGTGGGCATGGTGTAGATTTGAACTTAACCTAGCTTAGAAGAAAATAGTTGCTTGAGCCCAAAAATTTGTAGGTTTAGCTAGGACAGACTAAGTTATAAATTATCATCCCTAAATAAGAGTCTTATGACATTTCTAATTTGGTCATTATTAGTTTTATTATTTTAATTAATATTTATAATTTTTATATGGAATGCAAATGGTTTATTTTATTATTTTTATAATTTGTTTACTTTTTATTCTTAATTTTAACTATCCTATTAATATTAAGTATCTTTAAATAAAATTAAATTGTATTTTAGTTTTTTAATTTGTAAGCTACTAATTTTTATTAGTTTTAGTAATTTTTTATTAACTATAGTTCTTAGGTTTCAAATTATATATAGATTACTATTACTATTATTTTTGTATGTTTTATTGTGTATCACACATTATGAGTTTCTAAATGTATCATAACCGTTTTCAATAATGGGTCAATACAAACTCATTTATCTTGTCTTCTTCACATGAGTGATAAACATGCTCTATAATTTAAATTTTCATTAATTTTTTATTTTTATATCATTTTTAATGGGTCATCTGTTTTATATAAGTCTCTTATGTAGCATGTACACTATGCACAGTAAAAGTCTCAATTCATAAAATGTATTAATTTTAACAATATTATTAATTAGGTAATTAAAATGTATTAATACAAAGTTATCTAATAAAGCAAAACACAGTATTAGTATTAGAACACATGTTGCATGTGCAATATATAGAAGCCATGTTTAAATCATAATATTATTAAAACTATCAATTAATATGCTTTGTATTTAAATTTCTTATTTTTATTTGTGTTTATTAAGTTTGATTTTTAAGTGGAATTAAAATGTTTCTAATCAACTTTTTAAGGAAACCAAAGATAAATGTATTTTAATTTTTAGGTCTTGTCAATAGTTATTATTTTTAAATAACAGCTTAGTGCATTTTTAAATTAATAATTTTTTAAAATATTTTTTTTCACTTTGTTGTTTTATGTTTGATTGTTTAACCTTAACCTATTTAAATTATTTAATTTATTAATATTCTACTTTATTATGTTGTATTACTTGCTAAGAAAAAAATTATGTTGTATTGCTATCCTCATTCTCATTCTCTATCTTTCTTATATGTAATAATAACATGCATTGAAATAAGAGCATTCTTATCAAGCAAACTCTAGTAAGGTTTTGCCACATGTCTAGCAAGACCCTCTAGGGATAGAGTTTCCTTTCCCTGAGGATTCTCACATAACACATATCGGCTACACCCTTTTATCATTTCATTGGTTCTCTCGTAGCCACATGTTGAGACTTGTGTTTGAATGTCTTTGTAAGTCGTCTTTAAAGCGTTTCACCATGGGTTTGTGTTATCATGTTATGCTTATCGCAAGTCTTGGATGGCTTTTTATGCTCATCGTAGGTCTTAGATAGTGCTTTGCGTTCATTACAGGTGTGTAAGTCTCCTATTGCCTTAGTAGGGTATTGTCATACCATTGCAAAGATATTTTGGCTACCCTGGTACCTGATGTGTTTATTTATCGTCTTACCCAGCTTGACCACGGTATTCTTTCTCATTTGAGGTTTCCTTATGCGGATCTTATAGTATCAGTGATGATGAATTACATGTACTTATCCCCCTACTTATTAATAAGAGTATTCTTGTCAATAAGCATCCTATGTGATTTTCTTTGCTCGTATAGTATCATGTAACTGTGATTAGGTGATTGAGAATGAGGAGTTGATTGATTTGTTACAGATTGGGGCTTAATGGGTGCAAAAGGAAAATAAACTTGGTGATTTTATACTCTATTGGAATGAGGGACATGGTTGGGCCTACTTATTAAAATTGGACTTGACTTTGTTGTTTTGCCGACTTGCAGTTGTTTTCTGAATTGTTTGAGTCATGTACAAAGTGTTGAAGGTGTAAGTGATGGTGAAACCATAGGAGTTCAGTATTTCCTCTAATTTAGCCCCCCTGCTTTTTTATGGAAGGTCTTCTATAAAAAAACATGTCTGCTATGACTTGTCATTTTAAGTTTGCAACCCCCCCCCCCCTTGCCCCCCCATTTCCTGATAGAAGGCATTCTATCAAGAATTATTCGAGAGTAGGAAGAGATTATGTTGAAATTTCAACCCCCCTATTTCTTGATAGAAGTCATTCTATCAAGAATCAATCAAGAGCCAGAAGAGATTATGTTGAAATGCCAGTCCCCTGTTTCTTGATAGAAGTCATTCTATCAAGAATCATTCAAGAGGTGTATATAGAACCTTAGGCACATTGATAGATGTAGAAAGTTGCCACAGTACTCAAGGCCTTTGTCAATAAGCATTTGTTGCAAATTAATGTGATTGATGTGTTCCAAAACTAGAGAAGATTCAGAGATAATTTTGAAATAGTAGGACTCTGCATTTTGGTAGATGAAGTATTAGGTAGGGAAAAATACGATGTAAAAGTGGTGTAATGGGAAGCCCCCCCCCCCTATTGAGTGTGCAGGATTTCGAAAGGAACATAATATTCTTGTGACATGACTTGAGAATTTGTTGTGATTGCTTTGTTACAGCATGAAATCTTATAATGATAATATCATGGGCCATGATGAATATAGATTTACTGGGACCATGTGCGGGATATGTGGTCATGTTAAATGGTTAGTACACTGAAAGATTAGCAACAAGATGAAATAGTGCCTTTTCTTCTACTCTTGGCATGAAATGGATGGTGTTGGAGCTTATTGATGTCAAGTTCTTTTGCAACTATTTGATTATAGTGAACTTCACGGTCCATTATATTTGTGCTTGTTTGCGATATAGACAAAGATAGAGTAAATCGCTTGTGCTTGAAGCTAGTTACCTAGGGCTTCATAAGAAATGTGCAATGCATGGAGCTGCCATGGCTTTTTGTAAGATAACTGCCTAGTGTTGCCAGGGTTCTATGGGATGGCCAAATGGGGATGGGGTTACCAAGGAACTGATGATGAGCGCCTAGGATTGTTGGGGCCTTCTTGGGGTTGCCAGGGATTTGTGATGTGTGCATGGTAGAGGTGGATACGAGCTAAGCCGAGCCGAATATTTGGGTATTTGATCTTAGCTCGATAGAATATTACAAGGCTCAAGCTCGGGCTTGAGCTCGATTTGAAATGTAAGCTCAACTTCGACTCGAATGAATAATCTATATGTTTGAGCTCGATTCAGCTCAATCTCAATAATGAACCGAGCCTATTTGAGCTCAAATTCGAGCTTTCTAGTGAACATGTATTTCAAAGAGGTTTCTCTCAAATCTCAATCACCTATTTAAAAGGCTGGTAAAAAAGTCTTAAAGATTTCATATCCATTTGTCTCAAACTCTCAAACCAAACAATTATTTATTTTCCCTTCTCAAGTGACCTAGGTAGACCAATAAAACTCCATTCATTCTTTTTAGTTCTAACTTTAGATGATCTTTTCAACCATTTCAGTCATTACAAATTTACAACTGATGATCATTGATTTATCTCCTATCTTCCTAGTTATAATCCAAGAATGCTAGGATCCATTCTTTTTTCCAATAAGGACTAAAATCCAAAAATTTAGCACAAGAGACACTCTAGGTAAAACCAATGAACTTAGAGCATGTAGACCTGTCTAGAGGAATAACCGAGTAAGGACTAGATCAGATCATGAAAATTCAATAAAAAGTGACCCACCATAGCCAAGTTAAAGAATGGTAATTCACCACAACATCAGATGCTACACAACATGTACTATATTATGTTGCCACTTGTCACCCTACCCCCTACTATAGCAAAGAGGGCTGAGTGTGGGGTAGATATGCCCAAATTGTGTAGAAACAAGGAATCAGTGATTGACATAAATATTATAATTTGGCTAAGTAGGTCTAGCAATGTTGGCTGATATTAGAATCCAATGGAAGATTAAGGGGCTATCATAGAATAAGAATCTTGATCCAATATCCACCCTATCAGCTATCATAGAATAAGAATCTTGATCAACAGATAAAAAATATGATAGAAAACCACAATCTTCATTGTCAAATAAGTCATGGATCAAACTTCTTATACTCAATAGCATGAATCGCTCATTATCTAATTACTGTTTAGCTTCTCTCTCAAGATTGGTCATCCTGTTGACAGCCTAAGCTCAAGTCCTCTAGTCAAACAAGATGTTGAAATTTAAATGTTTAATAAACTCATAATAATACTCTATAGCCATATCATTCAGGGATATACATATACCAATATCCATTTGTGATTTCAAGTTTGGTTGATCTATAGCTTGAAGCAAGTTCAATTTCATCTCCAACATAGTTAATGCCATCAATTAGAGTTTTTTTTTTCTATTTTGATCATTATCATATGAAAAGTAGGGTTTAAATCTAGTTATTTGGATTTTCCATCTTCCTTCAAGTAGAGATAATGATGTAATCAATCATTCAACTCCAAAAGTGATTTCATTTCTTGTGTCCACCTAGTGGTGTCACAGTCATATTCATCTCTAGATGATTGCAACAATTACAAGAACCTCATCCAATCTAGCATTCATTTTGTTAGGCTTTTTGTTCTTTTCTCATTACCTACACTTTCTTACATGATGATTCGGCTTGGTATATGGAGGGATGTCCCCTTTAAACAAGTTTAGCATTTTGAAAATGAAGTGGAATTATATTGTCAATACTTTACTAATTAAAGGCTTCCAACCAATAGGTTGTCAAGAACATAGAATCCATGTTGCTGTAAAACTAACCTAAAATGTAAAATAAAAATATAAAAAAATCAAATAAATTGAAAATAAGATAGATATGATTGCTTATAAACTTAGGCCTACATTAATCATATGTTTGTTGTCCTTGGGGCTGCATTTGGTTTGAAAGAAATTAAGAGAATTAAAAACTTCACATGATGGCAAAAGTTAGTATGTGGACTACTATTCACTTCTACATTTTAAAAAGTGAACTTGTACCACACAACCCCCTTAAATCTACTATTTGGATTATTTATTCTTCCCTTGTAAATTTACATTTGTGATACTTATGCCTAGGAAGAGTTCAAAGCATATTGTAGTGTTCTTTTTTTTTTTCTATTATGGATTTGAAAAATCTCTCTATTTGTAGGGAATAACCTAGTATTAAGGTTGTCAATGGGTCAGGTCTAGCTGTACGGGATTTAGACCAATTGAGTAAATATTTACAAAGTTGGTTTTCAAAGACCCCTCTTAGTACATATAGGGAGAGGATGATGCATCACAGAAGGAAGCTAATAAGTTTTATGCATGTTGGGACCATTCCAAGACACATAAGAAGCAGAGATGACACCATTGGCCTAACTTAGTAAATATTTACTGATATATATAGCATCATTATAGAGTTTTTGTCTTAGTTCGTTTTTACCAAGTTGGTGCCATCTTAGAGTTTCTATCTTACTTTGTTTTTACCAAGTTAGCATTATAGCAAGATTTCAAATTTATATTCAATTAAGACTTTCCTTTTGAAGGGTTTTAGTAGGATTCTATATTGAGTGTTTTTTTAGATTAGAATTGCTCAATTAAGACTTCCTTTTTGATGAATTTTAGTAGGATTCTATTATGGAGTATTTTCTTAAGAGAAAGTTCAATATAAAAAATTGTCTCAACCTTCCCTTAGCTACTCTTTATATAAATATACACCCTTATGGCTCTTGCAAGAAAGTTTTATAATCTATAAAAACACTCCATAATAGAATCCTACTAAAACTCTTCAAAAAAAAAAATTCTAAATGAACAAAAATTCGAAAATCATAATGTAATACTAATTTGGTAATTATGAACTAGAATAGAAGTCCTGCGCTGGTGCTAACTTGGTAACTTCAAACTAAGATAGAAGTTGCATGCTGGCACTATCTTAGTAAATTCGAATTAGGATGGAAATTCCATATTGGCGTTATCTTGGTAAATTCGAACTAAGATAGAAATTTCGTGTTGGTGCTAGCTTGGTAAATTCAAACCAAAATAGAAATTCTGTATTGGTGCTAACTTGGTAACTTCGAACTAAGATAGAAGTTTCAAACAGGCGTTAACTCGGTTATTGATTACTCGATTGGTCAATGATGTCATCCAAGCTTCACTATTGGAAAATTCATCCATAGAAATGGTCTAACTATCTCTAAAAGCATAAAAAGTGCCTCTAAAACAAATAAGGGATGGTCAGGTGAATGCCTCTAAAAGCCCTATCACTATATGTTTTAAAGGTGTTTGGTTGAGAATTAGAGGTGAATTGCCAATCCATGTCTAAATTGGACTTTTAGAGGCACATAAAATCTACTGCACTAACACTAAAAGTGTTGTATAGAGAAAATTACAAGTGCCTCTAAAAGTCCAATTTAAAGGTGCATTTGAATGCCTTTAATTGTTTTTTAGGCCACTTTTTGGCCACCTCTAAATGTATGTGTTTCACTTTTTAGGGGCACTTTTGGTTGCCTCTAAAGTGGTTTAAGAACGTTTTAAAATATGTGTTTCCATTAAACCTGTAATAACATGTATACAATATTGAGATAAAATCTGTATAAAATATATTATACTACTCCATTCAAAAATATATACCTATAAATATTGTTCCATGATGATTAAATTAAACAATAAAAAAGTACTCCAATCATCAACTTTCTAAGAACCAAAAAACAAAACAAAACAAAACAAAACCAATCATGTTGACGAACACCCCTTAAGTTGGCCACTTGGATAGATGTGGTAGTGACATGAGCCCCTAGTTGTACCTGAAATAGACACCATATGATTAACAAATTGAAAAAAAAATGGATTGGATACAAATACTCAGCTTATAAAACCACGCTAAGCTGTTTGATGCCTATTGTTTGCTGAACTGTTTGATGACTGTTCGGCTACCCTACTGTTGTCTGTTCGACTGATGAACTGTTTGATGCCTATTGTTTGTGGACTATCATCCTTGTCTGTTTGGATATCCATTGTTTGCTGAACTATTTGATGACTGTTCGGCTACCCTACTGTTGTTTGTTCGACTAATGAACTATTCGACTACCCTACTGTTAAGCGACTGTATTCCTTAACACAGTAACTATATTCAAACTTTTTTGTTGTTGGAATTGTGGACCGTTGATGGTCTATTTTTAGCTGACTAATTGTCTGCTCAACATCAATCTTATTAAGCCCTACTAAGTAGGTCATTCAGACCTGTTCTTGTACTGCAACAGCAGTGTGCAGACTTGTTTCAGTGAAACCGTAGGTCAGAAGGACCTGTTTCAGTACTGCAACAGCAGTGTTCAGTTTGTTGTTTGTTCTCAGTGAARCTGTAGGTCAGAAGGACCTGTTCTTGTACTGCAACAGCAGTGCTCTTTCTTTTGTTCTCAGTGAAACCGTAGGTCAGAAGGACCTGTTTCAGTACTGCAACAGCAGTGTTCAGTTTGTTATTTGTTCTCAGTGAAGCTGTAGGTCAGAAGGACCTATTCTTGTAATGCAACAACAGTATTCTTTCTTTTGTTCTCAGTGAAACCAGTGGTCAGAAGGACCTATCTCTGAAATAGTCTTGTACGGCTGTGCCTTTTTTGGTTGCTGTTTCAACCTTTTATTTAGATATCATGGGCAGTGAAGATTCAGCCACATCTGGAGTTTCCTCAATGCTAAATGGAATGGGTGGGGGTGACCTATCCTTTCCCATGGCTGTTGTCCCTCTTGATGGTTTAATGGGAGGATAAAAGAACCATCATCCGGGAGTGTTGAATATGATAGATGGAATCAGGAGAACAGTATTGTTATGTCTTGGCTCTTAGTGTCCATGCAACATCAAATCAGAAAGAATTTCATGTGGGCTGAAACAGCGAATGAAATCTGGGAACAAGCAAAGCCTACATATTCAGAATTGCGACACTATGCCAAAATTTATCAACTGCAGGCATCATCTTCTACTTGTAGACAGAGGGAGATGTGTTTATCGGTCTATTACTCTGACTTAACACCTGTCTGTAAGGAGTTGGATCACTACCAGAGTGTGGATTGGAAGTGTGATGAGGATGCTAAGAAGTACAAACAGCTTGTCTCCCAGCAAAGGGTGTTTGCATTCTTACATGGTCTGAATCCTATGTATGAATCTATCAGGGTTCAGATTCTCAGCTCTAAGGATCTCCCTTATGTTCAAGAAGTCTATGCACTTGTACAATCTGAAGAAAGCAGGAGAAATTTGATGAACAACCCTGGTGTGGATGCTATTGTGTTAGTTGCAAAAGGAGGTGTACCTACTGGTGTGGGATCTTCTTTCCGGAAAGGAGATCTCCAGAAAAAAACAGAAGATAAGAAAAAATTGTGGTGCATTCATTGCCAGAAACCCCGACACACCAAAGATACCTATTGGGATCTTCATGGGAAACCAAAATGGGCTCAAGATCTGACTAAAAACAAGGTTCAGAGGTGAATAAGAAGTACGGACAGCAAAGTACAAAGAAACATCACATGGCCAACATGGCTACTCGGGAGAATCAGCCCCCCATTTCTACTGTGGCTCAGACACATCTCACTGGACCTGACCCGAGGGAGGACATTATGAATTCCTTCCGTGACCATTTAGAGCTCTATGGTAGAGCAATTCGTCAGATGGATACTCCTCCCTCAACCTCATTTGCATCTACTTCAGGTAACCCTGCCACTGCTTTCCATGTTACTTTTCACACCCCTGACTCTCCATGGATCATTGATTCTGGAGCATCAAAACATATGACTGGTACGTCCTCTTACTTTCAAACCTATCACCCTCTTTCTGGAAGAGACAAGGAGAGACTAGCCGATGGATCATACTCTTCCATAGCTGGTCAAGGAACTCTTTCTCTTCCTCTTGGCCTTACCCTTTCTGATGTTCTTCATGTTCCAAATTTTCCCATTAATTTGTTATCTGTTAGTAGTGTTACTAATTCCTTGAATTGATCAGTGACCTTTTTCCCTTCTCATTGTGTGATTCAGGATCTAGCCTCGGGGAGGACGATTGGTAGGGGTCATATGGCTGATGGACTTTACATGCTGGAGAATAAGGCTGGTCTTCATGTTACAGAGTCTATGAGTCAGTCCTGTAAGAAAAA